TTAGGCCTATGAAATTTGTGATTGTTTTTGTAATTTCAGCGGCCATCATTATTATAAAATTCCAATTGAATTTGAACTTGAATGCAGTACCTGTTGTTTTGCTGTACTGTGCAGAAAATTTAACTACCAATAAAATTGATGCTATTTGGTATTCTACTTTACCAAACTCCTAAAGTCGAGTGGATTGATGATTTTTAGTGAATTTGACCTGTTAACGTTGCAAATTTGTTTAAACAAGCTCGATTTCAATACTGCAAATTCAGCTGTGTAACCTGTTCTATGTTATGATTATATTAAAGGGGTTTTTTATTTTATAAAACCATTTATTTTTTAATTCTTCTTATTCTTTAGAGCACCATGAAAATTATACTTGCTACAGTTATATGCCTATGTATCCTTGAGATGGCACTCGTGGACGGGTGGAGACGTCGAAGACGACGACGTCGCCGAACATGCTGTGCTGTGGATTGTGCGTGGGGTAACTGGCAAGAATGGGGTGCCTGCTCTGTAACCTGTGGGAATAACGGTGTAGAAACAAGGGTACGAACCGTGGTTAGATCTGCGTCTTGTGGAGGTGCAGCGTGTACTGGTCCGAGTCAGGAACAGAGAGTCTGTTCGCCTGGATGTATTCGTGGAAAGCTATGCAAGGAAGTTGTGCAAATTGCCCTTTCCCATACACCGGCAACTGCTGCGAACAGTTTATTGAAGGTAATTTATGTCTACTTTGATGATCATCATCATTACCTTATTCAATATTAAGTGGGTTATTAAAGTTTACAACTCTAGTTAAAATTAAGTTCAACAAATGTAAATATTGCTGCTGAGTATCAAATAGTCCTTTTACAACAAGCCAGCAATGGCGCCAGAAATTTGCCGACGAGGTGTCTGACGTGTCCGACGGAGGGTTCCGAACCAATCGGTCGACGAAGCCTAGGTCGATGGCCTGGGAAACAAAATCCTGGTAGGGTTCACGGGGAGAGTTTTTATGGCTTCTTATGGTCCAAAATGTGTTTAAATAGACCACCATATTAGGGATTGGCAATGAAAATAAGGTTATTTTAATAGGAAAATTGTTATTTTTTAAAATTTTTGAACCGACGACTTAGTTCGTCTGAAGACAGGGGCAGGGGGGGGGGGGCGGTTATCCATGATAGGGGGGGGGGGGGTTATCCATGATATTTTCTGGGTGGGCCGTGATCATAATTTTTGGACCTTTCAGAGGGAGACTGGAAAATCAATTGCAGCGCCACCAGCTTCAAGCGGATGGCAGGCTCAGTTTTATAATTGCTGGACTGAGATAGATTACTGGGGCGTATGCAGGATTTGGCTGTAGTGGGTGCGCGCAAAAATTTAAGAAAATAGTACCTGTGATGGCCGGAAATGACACTTTTATACAGTAAAATTCACCATTATTACACCATCATTATTTAGTCTAGATGAAGCTCCAGCAAATTTCTCATGACCCTTAATCAGGGATTTTCGGCAACAACAGAGATCTAATTCATACGAGTGATGTACCAAAAAGTTTCTCTAAATGTGTCAATATTTAAAGTTTAGTGATTTTTTCTTATTTTGAGACTTCTGTATTTGTTGAATAGAAATAAGTGTCCTCTTAATAGGGGTTATTTCCCCATTTGGCACACTCAGAAGGTGTCCCCGTCCCCTTAATAGGGGTTGTTAAAAGATATATCGCCCCTCGATTCACGGAAAAGTGTCCCTTTAATAGAGGTGTCCCCTGAATAGGGGTGTCCCAAAAAAGGTGTTCTACTGTAATATTAAAATTCAAAGATGAATGTGATTGGTCAAGTATAGATTTGTCGGACCAATCGTGCTTCTGAAGTTTATTCAAAAACTCCACCCAAGACTAACTTGTTTGCCTATAGTACCTCCAATTATTTTTTTTATTGTGTTTGTTGTACGTTTTGTGTTGCACTTTTGTTGGTAATTGTTTTGAAAATATAATTGTGGTGCTCGTGATTCCGTCATTAATGCTGCAGTACATGCTGCCTGAGTTTTTCCCTGTTCATTGGCGTGCGCTTTACAACCGAAAGGAAAAGGCGCCAGTACAAGTATGACAAATGTGACCCAAGATCACAAACGGGCTGTAAACTCGTACTCTATCAAAATGTTTTTTTTAATGTAAATTAATAGATCACATCATTAACTTTATAATGAGGGCTCAATGACCTTAATCGGACAATTATGTGTAAAGTTAAGCTATTTTGAATTATAATTATTCTTTATAAACTGGCCTATAAAGTTCTGAGCAAAAGGGCTTTAAAAGTACTGAAGAGAAAGAAAAATCACAGTAGCAGTCAAAGAAACTCCTTAGCAACAACACAGTTTCCACTGAGCGATTGCGATGAAATTTTCTATGGTTTGCTGGAAATAGGTTGGGGAACAGAAATCTTCTATTTTTAGTCGAAACCCCAGAGAGTTAACTAGTAATACCCGAAGGGAAATTGGTTATACCTTTATAAAGCTGAAACATCCACGTCTGATTATGGCATCCCTATTGTTCTGATGAATTTAGTAGACATAAGAAGTGTTTTATTCGTCAAGCCTGGTTAGAGAGGGTGTTTTGTTAGGATTTGGATGAAAAAGGGTCGGGGTGGGGTTATTGGGGGTGTCTGGGTTTTTTTTTTTATAAATTTATAAACATTTAAAAATACAACATTTTCGGAATTATGCAAGTATTTACAAGTAAAATGATCAGGATTTCTATTGTTGCAAGCTACATTATAGCATGGGGAGGTGGTAAACAAACTGTTTAAGCAAGAAAATAATTCCTCCATTCAAACTACCGATTCCATCATTAAAATACTGGTAGATCACATTAACTACTCTCTATCTTCTTTAAAATCAAAACAATTAGCGTTATTTATGCGTCCGCAATACTTAATTGAATGCTAGGCCTATACCTTTCTTTGTGACCAGTGATCCAAGTCAAATTTTGCCAAGGACTGATGGGAAATTATGCTAAATTATACCAAATGTTTAATTTAATGGTTGTTTATTAAGCACCTTTCTCCCACCTAAAATGAAAGCAACACTATTCTCAATACTATTACTGTATACCCAGTGGTGCCGCCAGAGTCGACGGTATCAGGTCTGATGTTCCCGGCTGGGACGGGAGAAAGTTGCCGGGGTCAGGGAATCAAGAACCCACTCATGTTATTGTTTGGTTCTTTACAGCTGTTTAACTATTTTGTACATGATTTGAATGACGTTGTGTAAATATACTTCAACAGTATACGTTTTATTGATGAAGTATATTTACACAACGTCATTCAAATCGTGTATGACGTTGTGTAAATATACTTCATCAATACGTTTTAGTTTCACATCGCTGACAATAGTGCAGATGATTGTTCTGTTGGCGTCAATATTTTTTTAAAGTTTCAATAACTACAACTAGTTTCTTAACATGTACTCAAACGCAATCTACATCATTTCTGGTCCGCTTCACTGCAAGAAGGCTTTCCAAATCTTTTCCAACAAGTCATGAAACAGTTTAGTATTCTTTCAATTAATACAAGGCTATTTCCTTCATTTAGGTATGTTATACTGTCAATTTAGCCCCTTTTCTCGAAACCTGGTGATGCGAGTTTACAGCCCTTTTGTGGTCTTAGGTCACTTAGTTTCTCTTTGGTAAGGGCAAATACAAAACTATATTCTTTAGCGGTCTGTCATCAAATACGCTATTATAGGATAGGCGATAGTATAAATGTGTTGTTGGTCTAACAGTAAAACTGTGATTTAATCAATGGACGTACATCTGGTCTATTGGAAGCGGAATCAGTGATTTAAATTTACTTGGGTGCAAAATGTTGTCGCAATATCCTCTCTTTTAAGTGTGTTCACATGTTTTAGGAAACTGTAGGATCACATAGTTGGATAAAAAAAGACGTAGTCTAAGTGATAGATAGATAAGTTTAAAATTTCTGTAGAGCGGGTTAAAACAAGGTTGTCACTAGCGCTTTACAACAAATGGAAAACAAAAAATAAATTCTACTTAAGTAGTAATAACATCAAGAATAACTATATAATAATAAGATCAAATAATAATTATAATATTCAAATAACAATCAAATAATAATCATAAAAGTGATAATAATGTAATAAAAAAACAAATACATTATGAATAATTGAGTTATCGTTGAAGTTAAAAATGAAACTATGGAGGAAGGGATACGAGAAAGGTTATGATTTAATCAGTTGTTTTTCATAGAAGGTTGCATACAAATTATTTATTGTAATATATAGTGTATATAACGCGCTCCCTGTTATAAATACATTTTTTCTACAGAAACCATTCATAGTTCCTGGATTCGTGACTTAGGTCTATTCATTATATTTTTTTCTCTCTAAAGTTGACCCTTGCACGACACATATAGAGCTGAGTCAACCCTGGCGAAGTATTAACTATCCCCCAGAGCAAGACAATTCTTATCACTATGCCAACCTGCTCAATTATTGGTACCGTTTCGTCGGTAAGGGCGGCAGCGACATGCCGACCATGTGCGTGAAAGCCAAAAGCTGTGGCGTTCTGAAACCCATTTGGATGTCTGGTGAGTATAACGTCTCTATGGCAGGCCTATATTTATAATTAAAAAAAAAACAGTTCAAAAAACGTAACAGAAGTTGAATCTGACCAAGAATTAAAAAAAATGTGTGAAATTCATCGAAAATGAAATATCGGACAGCTATAGTAACGATAATAGTAATGATAATTATGATAATGATTAATGCATATTAATTGTGTGTTTGTAAGAACAGGTGATCATTCTACTTCTGAAGAAGGCACTGTAAGCAGGAGCGTATGTACCAGCGTAAGTGACAACGGAGTAGACAACTGTTGCATCCGCACGAACACAATTGAGGTAACGAACTGTACCAACTTTTATGTCTACAAACTGTTTCAGCCTCAGGATTGCGACGAAGGCTTTTGCGCAGGTAAATTAATATTAAATTTTCAAAAATTCAAAACTAGAAAAATGTTGCTTTTCCCATGAATTCGCGTCGCAGAATACTGTCGGCACTAACAGTAGGGTGTGCCTGGCTTTACACCATTTGTAAGAATTAAACGAGATGGAATTGACCAAACAATTTATACAAGTTCATAAAAATAAAGTTTAAAGTCCAAAATCGATAAATCAATAAGGGAATGTGGATATAAGATAAATTCTTTTATTTGTTTATTTTTTATTGTTTATTTTATATATATATATATATATATATATACATAAAATAATAATAATAATAATAATAATAATAATAATAATAATAATATGTTACCACAGACACAATAAATCAGTAGTATTTAGTATTTAGTTCCCTTGTTACATATTTATGGTAGGCCA